CTCCCCGCGGTCCCCCCCCCCCCCCCCCCCTTGCTACAGCACTGGAGTTACTCCTGATTTATGGACCTGTAAGATTAGAACTGGATAATAAATAAACAGCAGGCCCCAATTTGTAGACCTACAGAGTCATGTACAGGGCAATCCAGATTACAGTACGTGTTACGTTACCAGAAAGTCTGCTTAATAAAGCTTGCTCTTAGTTGTAAAACATGATGGCAGATATGCTATGTGAGTTTTAAGTCTCATGCAACTGAATAGCAAAACTAAGTAAAAATAAATCACTAAAAGGCAGTTCAAAAAAGGATTATGCTCAGACCCCTTTTAACCAAAAAAAGAATCTTAAGCAATTACCTCTGCTGAATTCCTCCATGTGTCAGATCAGCCTCTGTCCCACATAGCATGATGCAACCCAAGTGAAATACAGCAGTGCCCTAAAACATGAGTCCAGCTAGAAAGCTAGATGTGAAAGGACTAAAGACAATGCTCCCAAAAGCAATATGGACATGAAGCATATGGGGCCTGATGTTCACCATTCTGTTGCATAGGTTTCACAACAATGTCAGTCTAGTGGTATAATGGAGTCATAACATTTACAAAAAAATGTTCTGTCCAGTTCCAAGAACTCATTGGGGTAAGCTGTTGAAACTTCACTTCTACCAGGAAGCAGAACTCAGTTTTATCTCCAAATGCACTTAGCACCTTGCAAAAACAACTTTGCAGTAAAGAAATAACTGGACAAAAAGAAATCATGTGCAAAAAGGTCTCTCTTCATTAACCAATGAGACAGTGGTAACTCCAGCTAAATGTCTGCAGTAGCAGGCAGCTGCCATTTTGAAAACTAGCCACCAAGGATGGATGACATCTTACACATGTTGCACTGTCCCTTCAGAGCTAAAAGAGAAACAAATATAAATAATCCAGTCAAAAGAGAAAGCAGATACAATTGAACATACAGAGAAAGAAGATGCATCCAGCAATGTTGGCAATTTTACATAGTTATCAATTAACTACTTCAAAGAAAGGAGAGTCTACAAATGCATATAATGGAGATGAATTGGCATGAAGTAGCACAGGTATCTATGGTATGCACACAGGCATCGCACAATGTCACTGGGCATTGAGAGGCCCAACAATCTGCAGGGCCAGAAACTTAGGTTCCAAGCAGGGGTAGACTGGAAATGAAGATGTGAATAGTTTGGTGACATGAGCTCATTCCTTGGTGGGACTGCAGACTGATCAAAAAAGAGAAATCCAAGAACAGTGGGCAGATACTGAAGGTGGTAGAACTGCATCTAATGTATACCAGCCAAGGATCAGGCTAAAAGGTATCAGGAAAAAGAAGAATATATATAGTTTTACATTAGCAGAAAGGTTTCAACTGTGTTATCTTCTCTAGGAATGCCCAATTTGAGTACACTTAGATATCTAACTATCCCATACTACAGGTACAGGTACAAGTCATACAGGTACAGGTCAGAAAATATTCACTTCACCTGCAGATCTCTGAACAGTGGGTTTAGTGGCCCCCCTTTTTATAGCCCAGCTTTATTTTAATAGAAACTGGAGAGGAAAGCTAGTTTTGTGGTTAGGGAATACACTGGGACTAGACAGATTTGCCTTCTCAGCTCTGCCACAGACTTTTTGCATGACCTTGGATAATTCACGATCATTTATGCATCAGTTTTTCTTTTTTTCTTCCTACACAGGGGATTATATTTTATTGTATCAAAGTGGCTTTAAAAATAAATACATGAGAGAAGCTAAGATATGGTAATGTTTACAGGTCTGGGTACTTAAATTTTGATCAGCCATTACCTTGTTTATAAGCTCTGCAGCAAAACAACAGCAACCTTATGTGTGGTTGTGTTGCACTCAACACAGTGGAACATCAGTACCTATTGCAGTCTTTAAAACAGATATTTCTTGGGATTACTCCTCGTGGAAGTCAGGCAGGTCATTAACATAAACTAGGAGTGGGTGAATCAAAGAAGTAGAAATGGGATAGATTTTTTTTTTACTTCAGGGGGCCAGAAATCAAATTTAGCTATTTCACATTACAGAGAAATTGCTCCACAAAAAATGTCATTGTAAAAATCAGAGTTACCTTGAATCCTAAATGGAGACCAAATGTGGGACTGAAAATTGTAAACATTTGAGGGCCATTCACTAGTCAAGGTGAAATTACTATGATCCCAAATCAATTCTTAGTCAATGTCAGACTGACTTCACTTGTGCTTAGGTACATCTGGAGTAACTCCACTGGGATAATTGGAGTCAGTGCAGATTTCCACCAGGGCAACAGAATCTGTTCAGAGTAGTCTAGCTCTCTAAAAAACATCACCAGGTTTTTGGTAAGCTCAGAAAGAGAGGCCACATTTCCTCTGTACACATAGAATAAAATTATTTTTCATCCTCAGAACTGGTCTGTCGGGGTTAGATGTGGTTTCTCTTATGGAAACATTCTATGGAACTTAATAGAAAATAACCTTTGTACAGGCAGGGTATTGCATTATACAGTAGTCCATAAAAACTATTTAAAAGTTACTTACCACTGTTTAAATTGTTTTTTAACATATCATAGCAAAACTGGCTAACCGCGGCCTCAACCTCACCATGATCCACTGGCTGGGGAACTTGCTCCGTAGTAGGACCCAGAGGGTGGTGGTTGACAGAAGTCAATCATCGTGGTGTGCTGTGACCAGTGGAGTTCCTCAAGGCTCTGTCCTAGGGCCTATACTTTTTAACATCTTCATTAATGATGTAGACATTGGTGTCAGAAGCGGACTGGCCAAGTTTGTCGATGACACCAAACTCTGGGGTAAAGCATCCACACCTGAGGAGAAGAGGGTGATCCAGGCAGATCTTGACAGGTTCAGGAAATGGGCGGATGAGAACTTGATGGTGTATAACACCAAAAAACGCAAGTTTCTCCCCCTTGGGAGGAAAAACCTGCAGCATCCTTATAGGCTCGGCAGTGCTACGCTGGTTAGCACTACAGACGAAAGGGACTTGGGGGTCGTGATTGACCATAAGATGAACATGAGCCTTCAGTGTGATGCTGCAGCTAGTAAAGTGAGCAAAATGCTGGCTTGCATCCATAGATGCTTCTCAAGCAAATCCCAGGACGTCATTCTCCCGCTGTACTCGGCCTTGGTGAGGCCGCAGCCGGAGTACTGTGTCCAGTTTTGGGCTCCACAATTCAAAAAGGATGCGGAGAAGCTTGAGAGAGTGTAGAGGAGAGTCATGCGCATGATCAAAGGTCAGGAAAACAGACCTTATGATGAGAGGCTGAGAGCCATGGGGCTCTTCAGCCTGGAAAAGCACAGGCTATGGGGTGATCTGGTGACCACCTACAAATTTATCAGGGGTGCTCACCAGGATCTGGGGAA